TCCTGCTTTACACACCATTTATAAGTGGTGCTGATCCATAAACATACAACAAAGCAAGCTTACGATCGGTTCTCAGCCGGTCACGCGGGTGGCGGCCGTCACCGATGAGCAGCCGTCCAGGGCGGCGGCCGCCGACGGCGGGCCGGAGCAGGTCGGAGGCGAGCTATATCCAAAAGAAGGACCTAAATTCAGTGACTTAGTTTTTACAGGAAAAGCCCGGCTTTACGAATGTTGTCATATTATGATTGGCAAACCGTATTTTAAGGCTCCAAATATGTTCTACCTCAATGCTGTGGCAAAAAATAATATCTTGAAAAGTAGTCGGCGAGATCCAGTCTTATGAAAGCTTTGGATCTTTGGATGGGTTCGAATTCAAAGTTCTGGACAGTCTGTATCCGGCATTTATGATGGCATGTAAACTTTGCGGGTAGATGTCTTCTTAATGACCCAAATACTTCCCCGCTCGCGGGATTTTGCCATCTCAGCAGCGATGCTGAAAAGGATGAAGATTTTTGGCAACTTAGGAGTTCCTGTTTGCCAAATGGCATGCATGTGTCGAGTAAGAAAGACAATGCACCAACCAGGAACTGTTGCAGCCAATGTAGCTGGCGTATGGATGGCACATCAACAAAACATTGATTTATCTTCAAAACGTGTTAATGATGAATTAAGAGCGGGCAAAGTATTTTATCTTCCCCATCCTCCCAGTTGTCTGGGCTTGCTTCTCAGGAGAACATTCCTAGGTTTTCACCAAACCTGCCCCCCCCCCCCTCCCAACTTTATGAAACTTTCCTTCTTCTGCGGTTATAAGCGCTCGGTGAATCTGACTAGTTGTAGCAAAATATGGCGGTTGATTGCGTTGTTAGCAGCCTAAAACAAGACGTCCAAAACAGTAAAACTATCTTAAAATGGATGCTGCGACTTTCAAGCGCCCATGTCATCATCGTAAAAGACTAATCTGCTTCCCGTCGTAACTGTCTCGGAGTTTCAACTAGTTTTATACCGAGTAACTCGGCTCGTTATTTTGTGACTACATATAAACGTTACGACGTTCCGTTGGTGCACTGGAAGCACTTCGGTCCCGTGTAACAGCGAATGAACGCGGCCGTTTGTCCGACGCATATCATAATACCGTTTCCGACGGCTACGATCGTGGTTTTTCACCGCGGTTGGGGGAAACATTTACCATGGGTATCGCGGCACCTAGATTACGCCTTGTCGCGCCAAGCCGAACATGCTGTGAGGCCTGAGTGACTTCCCAGTGTGAACCAGCGCCGTGTATCGGGAACTGGGATTGTCACACGTCACACAAAAGGTGCGAAGCGGAGTTGGTGGCATTGCGCCGACTTACGTTGACATGGTTATGGCTACAGTAACGCGTGACATGATGTTGTCGGACGGGACATTCTGGAAAGATGTGACCTGTGCCTGATTTTAAAGGATGCGTTTGTGACGCCAGGATGCGTTTCAGGTGGCTGTCAGCCGCAGCAAAACCTGGATGAAAAAGGCCTGTATGTCCTTCGTCTGGGATATTCTTCAGCTGCGAAGCGAAGTTCGTGGCATTGCTCCGACTTAGGTTGACGCTCTTATGGCTGCCGTAACTGGTAACATGGCGTTGACGGGCGCATACATCTTGGAGAGATGTGGCCTGTCGTTCATTTTAAACGCGACATATGCGACACAAAGGAGGCATTTAAGGTGGCTGCCAGCCACAACAAAAACTGGATGAAAAAGGAGCTGCGTGTCCTCTGTCTGAGGATGCAATCGGAACGAAAACGAAAACAAACAGACTTAAGGCATTATCTGCCTCTACTTAGACATCGACGTATGGTAGGTGCAACATCTGTCCCTGGTCAGGTCAGGGAGCCACGAAATCGGTATTGTCAGGTCACTCGCAAGTTACAGTTCTCGCGAACATCTCAAACCATGCCTGCCTTTCTGGATAGCATATATTGGCGCATTGATCTCGCACGACACACGCGGTAAATATACAACGGAAAACAAACTGGCTCAGGTGAAGACTACGGTCGCTTGGCTACGCCATATCACAGCGCTACACAATGTCCGTGCCCGTGGTCATCGGGCAGTCGTTGGGTTTGATTCACAACGAGCGGCCGGGGCAGGGCGGACGCACTCCGGTGGCACAGGTCGGTGGGGAACACAGCAGCTGGCGAACAGCGCTGACACAGCTTCGGCCCAGTCACAGCACGCAGCGGGCCGCTGGCTCGGGGCTGGCCGTGCGCTTGTGTGGAAGCCTGGCCGCTGTCCACGCCGGCTTCATGTCCTCGGTAGAGGTGAGGACGGTGACCGGTGACTCCGTCCCCGGTGCCGACGCCTGGCCGCTGTCCACCGCCGGCTTCATGTCCTCGGTAGAGGTGAGGACGGTGACCGGTGACCGCTGGCCCGTCCCCCCGGTGCCGACGCCTGGCCGCTGTCCACCGCCGGCTTCATGTCCTCGGTAGAGGTGAGGACGGTGACCGGTGACCGCTGGTCCGTCCCCCGGTGCCGACGCCTGGCCGCTGTCCACCGCCGGCTTCATGTCCTCGAGAGGTGAGGGGACCGGTGACGCGTGAACTCTGATCGTCCCCCCGTACCCGCCTGGCCGCTGTCCACCGCCGGCTTCATGTCCTCGGTAGAGGTGAGGACGGTGACCGGTGACCGCTGGCCCGTCCCCCCGGTGCCGGCGCCTGGCCACTGTCCACCGCCGGCTTCATGATCTCAGCGATGGTGAAGTTGGTGGCGCGGGGTCTGGCCAGGTTGAGAGCCGTGGCCGGCGGAGTGTGGTCGTCTGGCGTTCGCGGTGCGTGTTGGGTCTGCAACCGCTGCCCTCCCTGCAGTGCCTGCAGAGCCTGCGGCGGCGACGGAGGGGCCGCCAGCCGAGCCAGCCGCGGCTCGTCGTGCTGGCTTCTGTGCACGGCCAGCGTGCGGGCTTGGCAGAAGCCCTTGCCACACTCCTCACACTTGAACGGCTTCTCCTTGTTGTGAGTGTATCTGAAATGAAGTAGGCGAAATAAGAAAGTGTTGGCTACATGCGAACTGATAATTACCGTAAACAAACCGTCACAGAACGCTACAACACATTGAGCTTAAAACAACAGCGTTTCTACATCAGCAACAGCTAACATTTCAGCGTCGGCGCACACAACATATCACTCGTGGCTATTGTCACTGCGATGAAGGGCCGCACTTACTTGTGGTCGCGCAGGTGGTCCTGGCGCCGGAACGCCTTGCCGCACACGTCACACGGGAACGGCCGCTCGTCCGTGTGCGTGCGCTCGTGGATCAGCAGGTTGTAGCTCTTGCTGAACTCGCGCTGGCAGTACTTGCAGATGTAGCGTTTCTTGGGGCGTGCGGCGCGGCCGGCCGGAGGCAGCAGGAGGCCCGGGTGGGTGGCGGACAGTGGTAGGCCCGGGTAGTACGGCCAGAATAGCGGCGGCACCTTGGCCTCGTCCGAGCAGTAGCGGTGCAGCAGCTGCTGCTGTAGCTGCTGTTGCAGCTGCGCGGCCTGCAGCAGCGGGCTGGCCTGCAGCAGGTGCGGGTACAGCAGCGGCAGCCGGTGCGCGGCCATGCTGGCGGCAGCGGCCGCCGCCGCCGCGCCCTGCCGGGGCTTGGCTGCCTCGAAGGCCGTCCCGGTCGACGGCAGGCCGGCGTCGGTGGCGCCCGGGGAGCCCATGGCCGGCGAGGTGGGCGTCGGAGGCGGGGTCAGGCAGCCGAGTGGCTCCATACCGGCCCGGTCGGCGGCGGCGGCGCGGCGGCTGTGCGGCGGCGGCGGCAGCGGCCCGGCGCCGCCGCCGCCGCCCCGCCACCGGCGCTGATTGGCCGGCGTCGGCCGGCAGCCGGCGGCCGCCGCCAGCCGCCGCGGAGGCCGGCTGCCGCTGCCGCCGCCGCCGATACTCGCGCCGGCCGCGACGCCGCCGCCGCCGACGGCGCCGCCATGCGAGGCGTGATTGGCTGCAGCCGGCGCGATTATAAAAGAGGGAGAATGAAATATGGCAGCGTTTCAATTTGCAGACGGCGGTTGTCCGCTGCGGGCATACTGATCCATGCAGTGCCTACCAGCATATAGCCCAGATGGGAGGAAGATAAACGTCGCCTTCCGACATTCGATGACACTGATGAGCTGCAAGCTTTTGTCAAGGTGTAAATCTGATGATGATTACGCAGCATGCAATTATCTTGTTTGGGTGCATCAATACATACGCACATACTCCCGGCACTATTTGCTCTATTTTCAGGCTCCCGATAAATTCCCTAAAACGGTAACGCGGGACCAACAATGGAATGTAAGTTTTTCATGCTAACGCTATGAAGAAGATTGATGCGCCACACCTGCCACATTTGATGAGTACCTAGAACCGACCAGTGCAGAAACCTACCGACGCTGGTACATTGTGATCTAATGTACAACATAACTTTGCATAAGCATTCACGTTTAAATTTGATGGCAGCAAAATATGACACCTGCACTCGGTCTTCTAAGAACTGATATTTCATTTATCGTGTCGATTTGCCATAAGATGAGTTACACCAATCAGTTCACTCATTTACCTATTGAGCCACTCATTTATATCATCTCCTCCTCAAGCTGTTCCTCGAAACACGTGGAAGAAGCACTATATCAGCCCACGGCTGGACCCGACACCAATCGCGGTCTGACGCCAAGATGGCTCATCCGCTACAGAGGCTCGGCTCGCCGACAAATACTTTTCATGCAGTGCTCACCGATCACTTCATGTTTTCCCGTTTCCCGTTGCATCTTTCTCCTCACCAGCCGTTTGCTCCTCGCGCTGTCAGAGTTCTGCAACTTTGCCATTAGGATATGGTCTGTAGGAAGCCGATGCCGCCATCACGCACAGGCAGTGCGACGGCTCTTCAGGCGCTGTGGCATGGCGCCGCAGACAGAAGACACAACAGCAAGGCTTGCAGTATTCTGTCGTCAAGCGTTTGTTGGTACAGAAAAAACTTGGGCGGCCAGGTCTGTCCCGGTCGTCTGGATTTCTTGAACCAAATATATGTTAAACCACTCATCACGTAACCATGCGGGCTGTGGCAATGAGAGGCCCATTCCCTGAAAATTGTCCCACAGATTATCAGGTATTTGTATCGAATCTGTTAAAACAGGTGGGGTTTACCTGCAAAATTTAAAAATCGTCACGATTTCGTTTCACCGTTCCGAGAACATAAAAGGCGTGACTTTCGAATTGCAAAACAGCTCAAGAACATGGGTGAAAACTGGACCCGAATTTCATTGACCCGGTGTTGCCACGGCTCGATAGCAGCATATCCTGGCTGGAGAACTGCGGACAATTGTCTTAACAAAAGTGTGCATTGATGTATGCAGACAGTCATGTGCTCTTAAGTGCAAGTCATGTCCCGGCCATTTTGGGACTGTTTGTAGGGATGGATGTCAGATTTCAGCAACCAAACCAGATGACGGTCTTAACCGAACTGCGCGGCGTAGGAGAATATACCGGCTATAACTTAGACATCTCAAAGCTGTCCGACTCCACGTGTGCACCAGAAATCAGCCGGAGAGCGACGAATGCCACCGCCTCCGAAACCGGCCGAGTATGCCAGACATTTGCGCCTAATTTGAGAAAAGTCAGGCCTTTTAAACTACAAAGGCGTTTTACACGATTTCTTCCGACCAACACCCACCCAAAATGTAGGCGTATTTTGTAACATTCTGGTCGTAGTTATCGGACCATAAGTCACTGCAAGCTCATCAATGTCGTCGATTAAGATCCTGAACCTCATTTCGCTCATATGGTTTGAGGCTTAACTTACGAGCTTTGCGCCGCTGAACTGTTAAATTTTCCATTAAAGAGAATGTTACGCATCTACTATGTTTTAAAAGAATGTTATACCGATTCTCATAACCTCACCTGAGCCTGTCATATTGTTACGGAAGTTAGCTGTCCGACGCATGGAGAACACCCAATCCTATCGGTTTCCAAAGACGTCCGACTCCATCAAACTCCGTTTTGGCGCCATCTCCGTGAAACGGTTGGCAACTCTGACACACACATTACCGTCTCGCTCGCCTGCGCCGTTAAAGGTGCATTACTGGTAATTGCCACGAGGCCTTTTTAGATGCACTCAACAATGTGCAATGAACGTCAGTCGGTGGTTTAATGTAAGCATTATCTTGATTGAGATCGTCAATCATTTCTCCGTCGTTCCATTTCCAACTTCTCCGAAACATAGGCACGACTTTTCGGTTATGTAACACTGCAAGCCGACTTTATGATCGCAACTTGTGCTTTGCGAAGCTGCAGCCTAAAACGAAATCGAGAGCGACATGCGACAGATATAACACAAACAGCTGCCACGCCCCCTTGGGAGAGGTGACTTCTCCCTCGCTCCATCTTCTGCTGCTCATGCCGCCTGCCTCGCGTCAGGTCCGAAGCCAGGCCACTCGCTCCCCGACAGTGCCCCGCCGCCAGCGATCGCGGCGACCTGTCGCCCGCTTCCCTCGGACCGCTGTTCAAACGGCAGCTCCCCGCCAGCGGACGTGAAGCGGGTCTCTTGAGCGCCCGGCGGCGGCGGCGGCGGCGGCGGCGGCGGCGGCGGCGACGGCAGTCCGCGCGTGCCGCCGCTCACACTTCCGCCGGCGCTGCCCGGCCGGGCCGCTTTCATCAGCGGCGGGCCGCGCACAGATTAGCGGCTGTGGACACAGCGTGATTGTATGTGGAGCCGCTTTGTGGCGGCCGGCCGCCGCGGCCGCGTGTCAACAGCGGAATACGGCGGCGTCGCCTCCGCACTCGCCGCGGGCCTCCCACTCGGCAGAGTCTACAACCGGGGCTACGCCGGGGTCCGCGCGGACATGGTGCCGGCCGGGTCCGGGTCTGGCGTCTGGTGGTCCGCGCGCTGCTGGAGCGCTGCGGTGTGCCTGGGTCTGCCACCTTGCGAACTCCACCAATGAGGCGCAGAGGCGGGTCTGGGCTGGCCTGGTACTGCAGCGGGTGTACGTACGTCTGGGAAGGTGTCTGGAGAACGGTAAGCGGTAAGCAGCTGGAGTGATTCTGCGCTGCGCGGGTGCTCAGGCGAGGTGGCCTGAGAAGGCCCAGAGATCACAAACACGGATAGAGAACAAGATGGGCAGGGATTTGCTATCCCCATGGCCACTGAATTTAAACATTAAGCATATTCATGGGCGTAATTCATCTACACATAGGATTCACTCCATTCTTCAGAATCGTCTCTGATCGCACTCACACATACGCACACAAATGGAAGCGAGAGTGTCACATTTGGAGACTATCGCTAGAAGGTTTGGCACTGGTTCTGCAGAGATAGCGCCATGTAGAGAATAGATAGCGCACCCGGGCTGTCCAGTTCCCTTCAGGACGCTAATCGACTCCATGTATGGTATGGTATAGGTATAAGTTTTCTGGTGGCTAACAAAGTAGTGCTAACGGCCGAATAATACGTCTCAAATCTAGCGCACACGTTTCGCCCCTGCTGACGGCCACCGGCCTTAATCTGGTGCGTTGTAACCTAATTTGCTCGGTGTCCGCTGGATCGGGATGTTTCAAGGGAAAAGATTGTCGAAAGAAAACAGAAAAAAAAACTCTCACAGCAATTCTGACAAAAACGACTGAGCCCAAAATGTGCCAATGAACAACTGATTCCGCTGCGGGCGAATTCAACCACAGCGAATTTCGTTAAAGTCGTTTTGTTTTGGGTTTTGTAGGTGGCAAGCAAATGTCCACATCTAAATGGATGAGATGAAGCTTTATAGTCCGATTCGAGCACTCATAATCTGAATATGCACCATGAAAATATATTTCGGGCTGAAAGGCGCGCTTTCCCCGAGCATTGTGCAGCAACTACCCCGTCATCGACAGATTTCGCGCGCGCCCCAGCGGCCAACAACCATCCATCTCTTTCCCTTCCAGTCAAATCGGCACTACGCACGCTTCCTCTCCCCCCCCCCTCCCCCCTCCCCCCTCGACGTTGCCCCGCTCCATCGCCCGGTCGGAGCCGCGCTTTTTACGGGCGTCGACACCTGTGGGCCGGCGTGCGGCGGCGTGTTTTTGAGCGGCGGGCGGGGCGCGCGCCGCCACCCGGCCGGTGTCGCCGTGTCACCGGCGCGGGTCGGAGGTCGCCGACTGGGTGGCCGGCCCGCCCCGCCGCCCGCCCGCACCGCCGCGCGCCGCACGTCGCCGGGAGACGCCGCGCCATGGGCCCGGCTGCGCACTTCCGCGCGCCAGACGGGTCGGAGCGTTAAGAATGATTAGTCAGCCTTTGGGTTTGAACTTTGGGCTTTCTGGTATCGCTGTGAACGTCGCTGAAAGCGCTTGCTTGGTAGTTGGTGGAACCGACGGC